GATAACAAATTTTTTATAAATGTTTATTTGTACCAAAATTAAGTTTATTACTTATTTAGAAATAGCGATAAAGTTATTTTAAGGAAAGTTTTTACTAAAGTGGCAAAATTTAACTTCTTAAAGGTATGATGTCATTAGTTCAATATAGCCCAGATAATAATGATAGCATCTACAAAAAAAACAATCAATCGGAGTTCCTTGACCTCCACCAAAACTTTTACAAAGAATAGCTTGAATAAAAGTCTGATGAACGAAAAAAGATTAGAAATGTAAGACTAGAAATACTCTATGAATAAAAAAATGTAGATTAAATTGGGTGATAATCTACATAGGACAATTCATCTTTTCTTGATCTCCTTTTTAATAAAAATGCATGTATGAAATCTAGAAAGCTAGTAGTGCTAACTCAAGTTGTGGTTATTGTTTTGTAAAGTTAAAAAATACACTAAGTATAATGTTAAACCGAACTAAAGGTTAGTAACTCGTGGGAGCCATGACAAAAGCACAACTTCAACTATGTTTTATAAAATGAGAGGGTACCAATAGTAAGTAATAGTGATGATATTTTACGATTAAGAAATTTCGCATGCAAATTTGCAAGTGTCGTGTAAAGAAATTGAACAACTGCGATGTATTTACTGTTTTGGCGAATCGCAGAGGGCCTAGCAGGTAAACTCTGACAGTATTTTGTCTACTGCTTATGTTCCAAGCGTTTGTTAGTAACAGCAAATACGTAGCTATATAATTGTGCCCTCCTTACTAAATCACAAAAAAAGTTATTCTAATAATTAAACATTACCCATAAAGCTTATAACGTTTATATTAAAAAGTAAGGTTAGAGTATGGAAAAAAAGTACAAGTCATGTACTCTATATTATAATTATTGCACAAACAATTATTGCCTCTTTAAATTTTTTTCTCTTACAATGAAAAAAAATAGGTAATTTACAGTATTCTTGGTGTTTAAGTATTTATAGATTAGTTGTTATGTGACTAATGTTAAATCTATACCACTTCCAATTTTGATTAAAATAATGATGAAAAATGTTTTTCCATTTTCGTCAGTAAACCTTTTTTGTGACGGCTGTTACTGTTGGTTTCCGTGAACTAATAGTTTACATGCTTGGAGGAGTTTAACTTCAAAAAACGACAGTTTAAAAGCCATATTGGAAAATGTACTAAAATATGAGTTTAATAGAATTTCCTCCAGACTTCTTAAAATTCAGAAAAATTATGCTGCATCAGCTTAGGGGACCTAGTATTTTGTGCGAAGAATAAGTGAAGCATGTAAAAGATCGCTGCCAACTAAACTACTGCCAAGTTACTTTTATATGTTCATGCAATAACTATGCCATGCATGCCAATAAAATGAGTCTAGAAACTCATTTACCATAATAAATGAAAAAAAGCAGTCCCCATGCATAAGCTCAAAAGTTATTTGCAAAAAAATTAGGCTGTTTACTCATTCCTTAGTATAAGTTAATATCAATATTATAAATGCTTAAACATCATACTTTTCTAAAAGATACATAAAATACGCTAAAAATACAGTATCTTGTGTAGCTTTACTAAATGCAAAATTGAAAATAAGAATTATAAAAAAGCCAAGATTTGCCTCAAGGGTGAGATTACGTAGAGTCTGGCAATCTGCAGACTCCGTGTAATCTCACCCTTAACTTACGCTATCCTCCATAGTACATGTTAGAAAGAGATTACGAGTGGTAAGTGCAGCTAGACAATTAGTATGATGGAATTAGCTTTTTATATAGGGAAATTAATAGAAGCATAACAAAATGATTATTGTTAGTTTTTTGTATTTATAAGAAATTGTGGTACTTTCAAACACTTAATAAGTTCAGCTAAGGCCCAAAAAAGTGGCAAAACCGATTTTTTGCACCCAGAAAAAAAAAAACTAAAAATTGAACAAAAAAAGGTTCAATACAAAAAAAGTTGCATAGTTTTAAAATGAAAAGAATCAAGCCTCACTTAAGTGGCTCAGTCGGGTGAGCTGCCGACACTCTACTACCCAGCCTAGTGCACCGAGCGCAAAGGACCGCTTTTTTACCATTAATGTTTAACATACTTGCTCGTAGTTAAATGAAACGGCATTTGAAGATCTTATAGATGAACTCTTGACGAACAAAAGCGTTTTTAAAAAACGAAGCTACGTTGCGCCAAAAATTTTTTATTGCCATTTTACGAAAGGACCTTTTTTTAGTTTTCTTACATGGAGAAATAAACAACTGTAATTTTTACCGTGAAAGCAACTGTAAAAGTGTGACACTGCGACAGTTACTATATTTTTTTACCGTAGTTTAGGGGTAATTTTTATCCCAGTAAAATTTGTCTTGAAAAGACCATAATTTTTACCGTGAAGCAACTGTAATTTTTACTCAGCTGTTAAGGTAAAGCAAGGGTCACGTGGTACAGAGGAGAAGCTATAGGATAGAGCAGACGTCTGCTGCACCTGCTTAACCTGCAAATTGACATGTCTTGAATTTATACAAGCGATGTAAATAATTGCAAATAATTACAGTGTAAATGTTTAATCTAAAAAGAAAAGCAATTTTGTCTGCTCATAAACGTCCTTTTTATCCTGCCCAGTGAAAATCAAACCCACACGCAATAGAGGTAGAAACGCCTGTTTGTTGATACTTGTTAGATAATTTGCCAGTGCCAGGATACAGACTTGGGTGATTGCATTGCCTCATAATCTGTAAATACATCTAAAGACAATAACTTTCCTGTAAAAAATGTACTACTAAGTAAAATTGTGTTTATCAATAAATTTCAATCACAATATTTTCATTTAAACAGCTAAACACGTTAGTGAATGGTACGAACGTGGGTATGGGTATAGTTTTTCTTACAAATTTTTAATTATTAACTCTGCTGATAAATCCCAACATAAGATGTGTTAATTTGAAGGTTAAGCAGGTGCAGCAGACGTCTACTCTGTCCAAGACAAGACCAATATTAGCATCACTCTTATAGTGATCTTGAAAACTCTCGAAAATGGGCAGTATTGTCTTCGTCTTGGTAAATGTACTCTTGTCTTGTATTGGTCTTGTCTTGGTTGTTAGCTAAAGTACAATTGAGAAAATTACATATACACACACACGCATACATTATACGAAGACAAATTAGATCTACTGCCTATCTTTGATCCTAGATCCAAGACATAAAGTAGAAGGATGTGATTGATTGGGGAAAAAATCTAAAACAAACAAGTGTAGAAAAATTCGAAGCTCTATTAAAATCTTAGCATTGTGAATCAAATTTTGGGGACTTTTCGAGTGAAGAAAGCGATTCCATTGACATTGAAGAGGAGTTCTTAAATTTTAGCAATAATTTTTTGTATCCTCAAACAAGTGGCTGATCCTGGCAAAATTAATTCCAAATCTATTACGAAGTACTAGGAGCTACAGCGGAAATCAATGTAGTAGATTGGTGGTGGGACCATGAAAATTTATATTTATCTTTAGCAAGAACGACACGTGATATTTAAAGTATACTCTCGTCATCAGTTCCAGATAAACGCATGTTTTTGGAAGCTTCACTAATAATCACTAACAGGAGAACCTCGTTAAGGTGGTTCTTTCATGACTCCCGAGTCAAAGGTGCGACTGTCGAGTGGGTATTTAATACTGCTGCATAATTTTTAAAAGCTTATTTGTTAATATTGTTTATTAAGGCAAATTAAGTACTGATTCAAAATTTTAGATCATAATATACGATATAACAGTTTGTAAGGATGATTACCTCAAATTCGCTGTTAACCTCAAAATCCCAGCAGTGGATGCTTGCCTATGCTTTCAACAAAGGAAACAAAAATGTATGCCTGTGTTTTATTAATATCTTTTGATTAAGTCTGTGAACACATATTTTTCGAGATAGCAGTAGGTTTGGAATTGCATATGCTTTATTGTGTCAATTTTTTACTTAATTATTTTCAATAAATAAATAGCTAGGCTACAACTTTTAGTAAAAAATGCTTAGTAAGATTGAATATTATTTTATTTGTATGTATTGTATCACACCATTTTTATCCTAATTTGTTATTTCTTATTTATGTACATTAAACTTTAATCATTTTATGTAATTTTTTTTTCAATTGGCTTGCATTACAATAAATTAAATTACCAGAAATGAGTATACTATATTATAGTTATAAGATTGAGTACGGTCACCAAGAATGTTGTCAAGACAAGACTTGGTCTTGTGACTCTTTGTCTTGTCTCGAAATTTTTTTTCGACTCTTGTCTTGACTCTTGTCTCGAAAACCAAGACAAGACCAAGACAAGACCAAGATAACTTTTGGTCTTGCGTGAAGCCCTAGTCCTACAGCTTCTTCTCTGTACCACGTGACCCTAGCTTTACCTTAACAGCTGAGTAAAAATTACAGTTGCTTCACGGTAAAAATTATGGTCTTTTCAAGACAAACTTTACTGGCATAAAAATGACCCCTAAGCTACGGTAAAAAGTATAGTGACTGTCGCAGTGTCACACTTTTACAGTTGCTTTAACGGTAAAAATTACAGTTATTTGTTTCTCTGTGTAGCGGTTCGCGAAAAGTTTACTACTGATTTTTTTGTACGATTTTTAGTTTTTTTTTTCTAGGTGCGAAAAACCTGTCTCTGCCATTTTACCATTTTTTGGGGCCTTTGCTGAACTTCTTAGGTGTTTGAAAGTACTACAATTTGTTATGAATACAAAAAACTTGCAGTAATAATTTTTTCATGCCACTATTATTTTCCGAATATTTCAATGGATTTGAAGCTAATTCTTTCATACTAAATCTAGGCTTGCATTGAACAAGAAATGAATTGAAGGAAGGGACTTGTTGAGGGATAGAGACATGTACCTACATAGAGAAGAGAGAAGAAAGTGAAAGTTAATATAAAAGAAAAATTTCTATGAGACAGAAAAAATGTTAAAGAAAAATGAGGATAAAAGTAGAACAAAAATTAAAAGTATTCACAGTGCATATGCGGACTCACCTATAGAACTCCCTATGGATGATGTGTAAAGGTGGGGCGTTTGCGCTTGAGATATCGTGCTGATGGTTCCAAGAGAATCGTAGAGCTCCGTTGAGGTAGCTATGGCGCTACCAGAAAAGTTGGTGTGGTCGTAGTAAACGTTCGTACTACCACTATTTGGTACGCTACCAGTCCCATTACCAGCCACAGGTTCTGTTCCTCCTCCACTTCCTTCACGTCCTCCTCCAGCTCCTAGACTTTCTCCACCTGGGTTCGTTGCTGTGTCAGTACCCGTACCAAGCTCGTTAAGAAGCTTGTTTTCATCTTTGATACTCCACTTGCTGGACCACGGCTGTATATAAAAATTAACAAGTGAGGTTGTAAAATCAATATATTTTTATGGTCATTGTTCGTATAAATACATGCACGTCTACCTATCCCGTATGGAAATTCGAGTGGGCCATTTTATTTACCCCCATACTATCCCAAAACATGTACCGCAACCCCACTTACTTATGATGGTTTAATTACCCCTTCCTTTATGGACCTACAATTAAAATAGTCTCAAAGTATAACGAAAATAATTACTTATTATATTTTATACAACGTTATTTGAGTAATTTACAATCTTTTTATTACTCTGTCCATGAGGTTAGTACATTGAATCAATACTTTTTAATACATTTTTAACATTTTGTTTGTAAGTATCTTATTTTAAGTGCTTGTTACCATTAAAATGAAGTTATTTTCAAAAATTTTTAATATCGGAGCATTTACTATTTTTACTCAAATCGTTTTTTTTGCATGTAATAAAATGACATGGTAGAACTACACATCATAAGCTTGGCATAAAAATGAAATAACAGGAATCATGGTAGACATTGCAGTATCTTTATGCATTAACAAATAGCCATAACTTCTCTTAACGCAATTTTGGACGTATTATTCAAGAGCTCAACTTTTAATATAACGATTTGGATTGCTTTAAGAACTACCAAGTGTAATGTTGATGTTTGTTAAGCACGATTTCAATAATTTTTAATGTTTTGCCACTATTCGTCTAAATCTTAAAAAAAAAATTAAATTGAAATATGAATTATTTTTTAATTAATTTTCACTTTATAATACAGAAAATAAAATAAATATAGTCATAAAAAACAAAGTTTATTGTAACTACTATCATGAGATTCAATGACTTCATGAATCGGAATTGAACGATCTATTTAATGATTCGTATTTTCTGTGCCCAACTAGTGAAATTACAATGAACTGATAATTTACAAAATATAATACTAAAGAAATAGTTGAGATTCCTACAGAAATGGTTAATTAAAGGTTTAATGTTAATATTTAAAACGAAGGTGAAATAGATTCTTATTTTTATTCATTACGGTGGCTCATGTGGATTTTTATGTACGTTTATATGAATAATTATATCAACCTAAAAAAAAGTTACAACTTGCAATGTAAACACTGTACTTTACACTTCTTTTTCAAAACCGGTCTGTCAACCACTTTATGTAAGAGAAACAATGTTGAAAAATAAATTATGTTAATCTCTTCGTGAGTCCTAATTAAAGTTGAACACACAAATCATCATTATATGATATTTTGCGTAAAAAATGTATTCTTAAAATAAAAATAGACGGTCATCCATAAGAATTTATGAAAAATTTGTCTATAGGAGAAAAATTTATCAGAAAAATCAACAGCTGACATGAATGGCAAAACCTGAACAGTCACCCATCCAAGTGCTGACTGCGGCAAGTGCTGCTCAACTTTTCTGATCGACAAAACTAACTCTACCAGGACACTGCCATGTTGATTAACAGTTAGTCTTTATATTAACTTTGTCATCTTCAGAAAAATTGAATCTGACAAAACCTGTTACAAGTATGTGATTCGAATACAAAAATATCTAGATAAAACCGAAGATGTGTATTTCAGGGTGTACTTAAAGAAACAAATACGCAATAAGAATTTTGTAATCTGTGACTAGAAGTAAGTGGTAAATGACAGAAAATCTTTCAATAAAGTTATTAAACATTTAAAATAAATATTTTCTAAGACGATTTTTACAAGATTTTCGTTTGTCACTTCTGCTGTTAAAATGAGACAACTTGGAACCAACTTATTATTACTACATTCCACAACTGTGACAACGAATTAGTGAATATAAATCGTTAATAGTAGCTTAATTTTTTACTCTACTAAATAATTATAGATAGAATTCATAGTAAAACATAATTTATTATAAAAACTTACGTTAGAGTACATAAGATCACTGTTGTAGTTATTTCTTTGCCTCTTGATGTTGTCCTCCAAATTGTCAGTCAGTTCTTGATTATCATCTGCAAAAATAAAAAAAAGCTCTGTAGTGGATTAAAAATGAGATTTGGAATCAGAATATTTTTGTAAATATTTTATGCCTTCCCTAAGAATCTGAATTTGGACTTGCGTCAAGTAAGTATTTCATTAGGGCTAACTCCATGCGTCAATTTATATAAAAAAAGGTTTATCAAATTTATTTTAGGACATTCAAGAATCCGTTTCCACAGTAAAAGAAAAGTGCATTACGCAACAAGTTTGAGCTGGAGCCAAGCAAGGTCGCTGAACTGACACAAGTGTGCGGATCGCACTCACACGAGTTGTGTATACTACTTTTTATCACGGGTGTCACGGGCCTCAAGGAACATGATAAATGCAGTGTAAAAATTTTCGTTTGAAATTCTATATTATAGCTAATAATAATGATTATGGACATTAATACTACCGTTACAATGATGAAACACAAAAGACAAATGTCTGTTATTACTTTCGATGGAGTATTCAAAATTATTACCTCTATCAACAGATTGCTATCTAAGTTTTTTTAACGGGGAGTTACATGCTGCTTATTAAGTGTACGACGATCTAACAAACTCATGGTCTTTCGGTAATTCGATTGTGATATTTGTAAATCTCAACTCTTCTTAAGCAACTGAGAGTTCCAATAATTAAAACAAACTAAGAATAACATGAAGAGTTAAGAAAAAAATGGGTCACGATTTTGTATTCAAAAACTTTACTTTTCGTAGTGGATTGCATATTATCCGGCACTTCGTTACAAAACTTGCTAAACTCATGAGCAATGAATATTTTGGATTTTTTTTAAGTGAAACTCTTTTAGGCGCATCTTAAATGGGGAGTTAACCCGTGAAATGAGCGAGCGAGCAAGCGAACGCTGCCGTGCACATACGTGTGTATATGTATGTGTATGTATGTAAAAAAAGGTGCGTAAAATATTAAATATGTATTCGCTACGTGCACAATCTGAAAAAGCGATAGCAGCAATACCTGTTCTAGTATGTGAAACTAGACGATATGTTTGTCTTCTGCTAGTAGACTACTAAGCATTACTAACATAAGAAAGCTGNATAGTGAGGAGCCACCTTAAGCACGGGTGAATGTATATATATATCCGTACGTTTACCAGCTGCGCCGCAGCCAGGGCCCACGAGATCTCTATCGCATGCGCACAATAGTGCGCCGTAATCACTGTATCTATATATATGATATAGCTTCTCTCTATCTTATTTATCTATAAAGTATATAGACAGTCAAGTGATCCAAAAAATCACCAGCGCAATCACACGGATTAGTGGTCGAGCGGTCACCGATCCAACTACTTACCGCAGCCAACTTTGCTTAACTTTTCAGATCAACGGAACTGCAACTCTACCGCTGCACCGCCGTGTCAGTAGTAGGTATACTTACTGCTGCATGGTTCAAATCGTAACGTGGCTGTAGTACGGGCTGAACTGGGCCTCTGTTACAGCTAAGGTACTGTCAGGCAAATAATTAAGGACGTTCGGTAGTGATTGAATTTTCCAACGAATTTTTCTGAAATTTTGACCAGACGTTTTTATTGTTGTTACAATAAACCAGTCAAAATTTGAAGAGGTTCCTCTGTTTCGTTTTCGAGATATTGAATTTCAAAGTTAAGTCATTTTAACACTGTCGCTTATGGGAGAACTGACTAAATCACAGTTTTAAGCAAATTGGGCCAGTGAATTTGGCCAATTTTTTTATATGTTACAGATAATGTTATTAATTTGATGTATACCAAGTTTTGCGACGATCGTCTGATTCGTTTATAAATAAAAAATTAAATAAAAGCTCGACCGAAACGCAACGGCAACGTCGCAAGTGGCGGGAAATTCAAAATGTTCCAGGATGTTGATCAGTAAATATCTCAATATTATTGTAGATATTTATGCATTCACGCATAAAATACAAGCTTACGTGTGTGCGTGAGTGTATGTACAGAACGCCCACCCCTTCCCATAAAAAACAATAAATGTTAATAACACGCTATTTATTTTTTTTTTTAATTTCAAATTTATTATTTCTTCTTAAGATACAATTTTTTTGCACATTACAAAATCACATGCTCATAGTTTGAATCACTCATCTTAGAAATCATCCTACTTATCTGACATCCCATGCTGTATGAGACTTGTCAAGTCATTTAAAAATTCAAGTATTTTATTTACACTGGTAGCTCTTTTGATTAAAGGGCTTTGCCCATTTATTAGAAACGATCTTAAACCATCATTATCTTCCATAAATTTATCAACAATAATATTAAAATTAAAGCTTTATCACAAAAACATTGATACACGAACGCTGTCGTAACTGACGCAGCACAAAGCAGACGAGCAGACAGTGTAGAGTGTGCAGAGACACCTGATGCGTGTACATGAACACTCACACATTTAAGACCCGTACGACGTTGCCAAATCTTTATTCATCGCTGGTTTCCCCTCACCGCGCAAATGTTTCCCCCCGCTAACACTACCGAACGTCCTTAAAACATCGCTTGACCTCTTTGAAGTCTTCGAAAAAGATAGTAAAAATCGTTCTTTTTTCATATTTATCCTTTCGTGTCTATATATGTATGTAAAAAAAGGTGCGTAAAATATTAAATATGTATTCGCTACGTGCACAATCTGAAAAAGCGATAGCAGCAATACCTGTTCTAGTATGTGAAACTAGACGATATGTTTGTCTTCTGCTAGTAGACTACTAAGCATTACTAACATAAGAAAGTTGTGTTTTTATACATCTGAAATATTTCTCAAGATTAAATTTTTACTAAAATTATGAGTATTAAGTATACATTTTACTTATGCATGTTTATCGAAACATTTTGATTAAAATTCAGTAAAATATATATTATTATGTGTATCTTTTAGAGCTATCAGCTGGCGTAACCTGCAAAGATGCAGAAGCTCGGACTATGAAAAAGAAAACAAACGTTGTATATATAGCACGTATCGCAAATATTGTCTTTTGCTATGCAAGGCCAATAGCTCTCAATTTTCTCTGATTGGCACTGCTTCAAAATTGTGCACGTGGTGAATAATACGACAGCTTAACTTTTGAAAACAAGAAAAAATGCTGTATCTCGAAAGGGAAGAAAAATTGGCTAAAAATAACAATTTTTACGGGTTTTCTAAAGACGATCTACATCACTGAGGTGCACAAATAGGAAGGGGTTAGACTATGAACAAACATAACCTCATTTTTTTTATTTTTTAACTGTATCTTGGAAAGAACAAGTAAGAAATTTTTTTATTCAATATGACATAATTGAAAAATTAATACGGACATTGATAAAATCTTCGAACAATTTTTGTTACAACATAACTTTCCAAAATTAGAAAAACAGTCGTATCTCGAAAAGGAATCCAGATAGGACAAAAGTAGCTCCACAGATAGAAAATAATTATTAAGGTGCAAAAATATGTTACACAGATTCATACAAATAATCGTAATAATTCCGAAAACAATAAATCATATCTCAAAGGCAAAGCTACAACCTTCATATCCTACCTATGAATTTTTTTATTTTCTGTTCTCTATAATGTCTTATAAGAATTACTGTCGCGTGACAAAAATCTATATTCTTTCTATTAATTTTGAGATCAGTAGAAACTAGTTAAGGTGGCTCCTCACTAAATCAAAACACTGGAGTATTAAATGATATTTTAAAGGATGATTCTTGAAGGTGCAAGGAGTCTTTTCTCAAAATTTTAGACCTCGTCACCACCAAAATTGTTGAAAAAAACTAACTGGAAAAAAGACTCTGTAACATAGCCTCTTATGGAGGGTCGTCAAATTGGTGGCGCAGGTTGTATGATATCTCAGCAAAGATACTGTAGTTCTTAATAGAAAACTATGTAGCAGATATAAGAAATCAGAATCTTTCCAACGACATTCAGGTACTTGGACATTACCATGGGTTTTATAGGGTATTTTGTGAAAATAGTAGATAACTGTGCAAGTCACGGAACAGATGAAAAGTGTGAGGCGTCTGCTACACCGAAGAGCGGTAGCCCGTGTAGTTTGAATTGGTCAGAAAGTTGTACGTAAAATGAATAGGAGTTGTGGGGAATCGTAATTATAATAAAAATAAGTGAGACGCTGAACTAAGAAAATAATTTAATGCGGGGCTGACTTATGTACTTTTTTGACTAATAGATAAAATTAATAGAATATGTCACGTCTGCTCGGGTCACTCATGTATTGTACGATATAGGTCAACGGTGTAGATGTGACTAAACTTTTTTTGAAGGGACTATAGGTACCTATCCATTTTTAGTCAAGAACCTCCACAGCCAATGAAAAGCTGTGTTGCAGTATGCTTATTCTTCTTGTGGGATTTATAGTGAGGAGCCACCTTAAGCACGGGTGAATGTTAATATTAAATTATAAGTCATGATAGAAAACAAATTGAATGAAAAATTACAATTGTATAGTAGGAAATAGCTGTATGTCTATTGTTTTCCTTAATCTCAATGGGATATACTGGATTATTTTACTTTTATGGTAGCCAAAATTTTAAATAATTTTTATTTGTTGGATACAAAGATTCCAACACGAATTTATTGTACACGTATGATGCCGTATCAAATGCACGAATATTAATTTAAAATAAAATGTATTGTGTTCCACGTAATGGAAAAAAAGTTCCTTCTTTGTGCGTAGTATGGTAAAAATTTGTGTTTTATTCTGCATTACATGACCAACAATTCGTACATGTATTACATATATCATAGCAAACATAAAGCTACTTAGAATGCGCGAATCCTAACATAAATACACTGAGAAAAGTAGTGTTAAAAAAATTATTATAACTGCACTAAAAATTATTATATTTTTAGGAAAGCTGAGCTATACTCACCTGATGATGCTTAATTTTTACTTTTAAAACAATTTTTATTATATTTTAAGTAATTTTTATTATTCAGTAGCCTGTTGCGTAGGATTCTATGGTCTTGGGGTGCACACGAAATAAATAGTCGAA